AGGTTTCATAAGGCTGATTATTCAGTTATACACTTCACGAAAGATGAAGGGAAAGTATGAACATATCGATATTTCCTCTTATTCGTAAAGGAATCATATTGTGACATTGTGAAGAGGCCAGCTGAAACATCTCTCTGGGGTTTAGACTAAAGTGGAGGTGCTTTGGTACTTTTAATTTATATCCTATTATTAAACATATTTTGATCACTATGCCTTTAATGATTACATATACAATGGAAACTGTCCTACTCTTTACCCAACACTTTGCAAAAGTTCCTGGAACCTTTTTTTTTGTCTTATGAAGGCTAATAAGTTATTTGCTTCAGTAGCCTATCATTGAGAGGGTAACCACAAATAAATCATTGAGAGTAAGGGCATCAAAGGTCTTTGTTTTCTTGACTTTTCAAGTTTAAGCAGAGTGGTTGTGGCCACAGACCATCATGTTTCTCCAGGAGCATATAAGAGGAGAGGTTGTTTTTTTTATTTCAAGGTTAGTGGACAAATCCAGATCCTTTGATAATAAAGATTGGACTGGGGGATATCAATGGCACTATAGACATAGGCAAGATTGTGCAGAGGAGAGAAAGAACGCTAATCACGTGTCTGGAGTTTGGAGGAATATTAATGGTGTGAAGAGGCAGACAGTTTTCAGCATAGATTACAAAAGAAGTTTTAGAGGTCTGGATCCTGTCTTATCTGTGTGGGTCATGACCTTATATGAGGAACTCAATGTGGAGAAATCTGAAAACAGTGAAAGTTTTCTGAGCATGCAGTGTGAAAAATTAAGACAAAATCAACTGTGTGATGAATCTAGGCTATTTCTGACAGCACTGTTAAATTTCTTGAACAAAAAGGAGTCATGGTAGAAAATTTTAAGAATTCCTGATCGAGAGAACAAGTGAAGCTAGGTGCTTTCTTGCAGGTGGTCATATAATAAATGATAAAATATGGGACTAATAAATTGAGAATTGAACATCCTGAAATAAATAGAAATTTTGATCAGCATATTAATTCTATGTATGTGTTTTCATGATTTTACATGGCATTACTAGTTGCAACATATTGAGAACAAGTATTTTAGTGTTATGTTATAAAACATAATTATTTTAGTTTAGCTAAAATAATCCACCTCTAGTGTATTACATGTCTTGTGCACACAGTGAATTTTACAAAAATCTATCATTCAGAATGAACCACCTTAGGACTAGAAAGATAATATGAGAGGTAAGGTGCATATGAATGACCCAGTTTTATACCCAGCATTGCATGGACCTACAGACATTGCTGGGTGCATTCCTGGAGTTTGTATACTGCTAAGGTGTTATGCCTTTGGGGTGGTAATTTCTGGTACCACAGAGACTTGGCAGTACCTCATTCTTGACAGGGAGTGACCCTGTTCACTCCTGCACATTGCTGGAAGTTCCCACACTCACCTTTAATTTAAGATCCACTGACCATCTTAACTTTCATATGATTAAGAATTATAGTATAAAATAGCATGTTGCTTCAGAAATGTTTACAGCATATTCTGGCTATTCTTGAATATTGGAACAATTCAGAATATTTTTAAAAAAGAAAGAGGAAGGATGTGCGATTGCAAATCTATTCATAATCTTGCCTAATCAGCAGTCTTGCTACTAGAAACACTGAAGTTCTCAACAAATATGCCCAAATGCTGGAATGCAACACAGCTGCTTGGTTATTTTAGCTGTCTTAGTTTGGCCTGGCTTTGTGTCATTCAGCTAAATATATGACGAAATATCTGACTTGAGCACAGAATAAGTTAATTTATTGGCCATATGTTATTTTTTCCTTTAAGTAAAAAGTTGACACAGTTACTCCAAGGAAAATGAGCAAGCCAAGCTCTAGAGTCTGCTTGGATTATATTTTATGATGGTTCCCTCTGTTGCTATTCTAGGAACCTCTGTTTCCATTCCCATTCTATAGCCAGGACAGGGCTATGCTTATATCATTAAAACTTTACGATAAAACTCCTAGATAGAGATCCTTTTGGATTTGCTGATGTTCTTTCAATGGACAGCATAGTCATTTAGCATCCTTTGGTTATATCAGATACTCGGTGTACCTTGTAGATCAACTCTGATTTCCAGAAATGTTGTTACTTTATTATTAAGTTACTTTGTGTTTCCAAGGAGGACAGTATCTGTCTTTTGACATTAAAGGTAAATGAAGATCTTAGTAGCTCTCAAGAGTCACAGAGCCAGGTAATCCTGTTTCTGAAACATGTTCAATCAGTACGAAAAGAGTGGGTGTCAACATGGGGTTGTGGGGACTTTTAAATATGTCAATAAGAAATAAAAATGAAAATCAAATACTGCTTTTTCTTGTAAACACAATTAAGTAGAATTGCTTCTTCCTGTCTTTCACCGGCTCTGCTAAGGTTATTTTTGAAAATATGCAGAAAATGAAGTGCAAATATGTTTCGTATGTGTGCATGTGTATGTGTAAAATGAAAATCCTCAACAAAAAATTCCTGAGGAAGTGTTGCTAGCAGAAAGACAGAGCTGAAGCCATTTCCCCTAATAGGAGCAGGCATCCTGTGCTGTTAACAGGTTTTGCCTCTTTTTTACCTGCTGCTGAAGTGTTTGTGATGATGCTCAAGATTCATATTTCTCACAGTATGCAAATCCATCTTAAAATTAGCTTGGCTAGAATTTTAGGCTATTTTTAAAGCCTTGTAAACTGTTTTAAACTAAAATGTGTCAGACACATTTTACTACTTCAAAAACTATAAAGTTCTCAGTTTTCCATGAATTCCATGAATGAGCAAGTTGATTACTAGGGTTTTGTTCATCTGGTTGTTCTTTCTTTAGGGTTGTCTGTTTGTAATATTCTAATCATGATAGGAATATAAAATTATGAATAATTTGAAATACATGGAGTACAAGGAGGGGCAAATAAATATAAAATCTAATGGTTGTACAGATATATTAGGTGAGTGTAGGAATATATAGTGGTGCAGAGATATAAAATAATATGATGTAGAAATGAAATAATTTTTTAAAGTATATAGTGTTATGATTTTTGTTTTCTCTCAGAAGCTTGTTTTAGATGGCATAGATTCTACTAAACTGTTTGAGATGAAATAATTTTCGTGGTGGCTAAGTGCTCTCAGATACCTCATTAAGGGCTATAAAGAAGTATGTAGAAGCCAGTATGTTTAATCGCAGCATAAACCCTAATTTTAATTAAATTTCGTTGTTTCAGAGGGGCACAAGGAAAAGAAGTGTGATAATCATTCTTTCTTGGAGGGTTGAGAGTGGGTGCACCCATGGGTGCTCTGGGTTTACCCCTAGTTCTGTGCTCAGGGCTCACTCCTGGTGGGTTCTGGAAACCATAGAGGGTCCTGAAAATTAAACTCCAGCTGGCTACATGCAAGGCAGGCAGTCTATTTGTTTCGCTAAAGCTGTGGCACAAAATGTGAGAAATTTCATAGTATAGTCAAAGCTGTGGAAACATAAGAAGATTAAATTGGTTTCTCTCATTGTGACATAGAGAACAAAAATTTTTCACTTATCAACTAATTAAGCACGACACCCATTTTTTTTAAATGAAGCATTTATGTTTCATGGGTTTGGGCCTGGTTACAACCAGCACCACAGCCATGGGTTCTCTGGGCTTACTCCTGGATATATGCTCAGGAATCACTCCTGGTGGGCTCTGGGGAGCGTATGGGGTGCTGGGGATCAAAACCAGATTGGTCACTTGCATGACAAGCACTCTATCCACTGTACTATATCTCTGGCACAGGAAAATTTATTTTTAAACTTGGGTATTTGAACCTCTCTGTGACAGAATCAAAGGAACATTACACAGTTGAAATCAAAGTTCCAGGTGCTGGAATATACAATACACGTTCTTTGTGTGGCTGATTCTGGTTTGATTACCTAGACTATCTAGTACCCTAAACATCATTGGGTGCTGCCTTGGAGACCCCCACACAGTCCCAGGCTAGCCCAGGTGGTCATCTCTGGCAGGACACCACTCAACAGCACTGCAGCCTCAGAGCATGACATTGAACCCTTGTCCCAGTGTAGCAGAGCATCCCCATTCGGGCTCCCCTAATTCTCTTGCCCAAGACTGGGGAGACGCCAGTATTAAATTAGGATCAGAGAAAACTACAAAACAAAATACAATTTCAGGTGCTTACACTTTCCAAACTGCTGCTGTAGGAATGAATGAAATCGACTTATAAGAATAAGATATGAGCCAGGCACTTTGTAAGATCATAACTTTTCAGTGGAGAAGATGGGGTGACAACTTCTACCTTTTGTTCCCATGGAACGCATGGGAAGTATTAGCTGGGAAGACATAAATTTTGAGAGTATTCTCAAAATAGATAAAAAGATACATGGCATGATAGCAAGGATGTTTCTGCATTGTTTGGCATTTCCAAATAGCATATTGAATATGGAAAACTCCATTTTTCTACTTTCTTTTTCTATTCAGAACAATAGAAGGCAATTAAAATGTTTGTGGAAAAATACAAGAAGGAATTGTTGTGTTTTTCTTTGACCTCAGAGTAAAGGAAAGCCATTTTTATTGACTTAAGTGTAGATTTGTTGAAATGACTTTAATTTGACAATAAGTGATATAGATTGGATATTGTATCTAATGTGTTCAGCTTTCTTGTATAACAGTGTGGTTTGGATTGCAGACATCCTGACAACAGAGGCCAATGAATATTCCATCACAAACCAATCAATTAGCAATTCATACTATGTTGTTTATTAAAGTAAGAGCATATGAATATAACGAAGAATTTTAATCTTCTACTGAGCATTCCTTGTCACTGAGGACAATGCTCTGAAATGGTGTTAAACTTACTGGAAACATAATTTTATCAGACAGATCATTGTTTTACCTTCCCCATCTTTAAAGCAGGTTCATTTTCCATTCTTCGTTTCCCGAATACCGCTCTGGGAGTGAATGTTTCATATTTAGTTTTTCATTTGTCCATTAATTTTTTTCCTCTTCAGGTGTAATCTAGCCCCTGTGGTGGAGTTTGCTGCCGATGTGGGAACTAAATCAGATTTTATTACCATGAACCCATCAGTTATCCAAAGAGCATTTGGAGGCTTTCGGAATGAAAGTGACAGAGAAAAATTTGTGCATAGACTTTCCATGCTGAATGACAGTGTCCTTTGGATCCCTGCTTTCATGGTCAAAGGAGGAGAGAAGCACGTGGAATGGGTTAATGCATTAATCCTTAAGAATAAACTGAAAGTGCGAACTGCGTACCCATCATTGAGGCTTATTCATGCTGTCAGAGGGTAAGTGTCTGGAAAGAACCCGCCTGTCCTTGCCATAATGGAACAACACATAACAGAACCTTGCCCTTATTTGGAAAGGAAGCTCAGTAAAACCTTTCTAGGAATACATGTTTCCTCTGTTCTGTCATGATTACTCTATATACCAACTTGAATTTTGTTTACATCCCCTGTTGTTTTATCTCATTCTCTACCTTTAAAAGTGACTTGTTGAGCTTGACTCCGGTTTATGTACATGCATGAAAACTTAACATTATAATTTCTCTCTTATAGAGTAATAAGATTTCATAGTAAAATTGATTAATATGAGATAGAAAAATTACCAGCAGAAGTGCTAAATGGCTAGTGGGCAATATTGTGGAAACATAAATGTTAGTTGTATTTAAGGAGCAATTAAGTCCCATCTGTAGTTAAGAAACCTACTAGAGATAGGAAAGTCTGGCTGAGATCATATGCCTTAATGTTTCCTCCCAGAAGTCCCAGATGCTATTTTTATGAATTAAGCCAACATCTTTATTTTATTAACATGAGCTCAGAAGAAAAAGCAACAAATAGAGTTTTACTTACCAATTGTAAGTGACCAAAAACTATATTTAATGCATAGAGAGATATAGACATTCAAAATAAAGAAAGGAAAGGAAAAATGTATATTTATTGAGCATGAATTGGGCATTAAACGGTGCAGAAATGAGAAACAAAATGAAGACAAGTTGATCACTGCTCTTTAGGAACATGTAACCGTTAGAATAGCACAGAATAGATATCGAGGTAGGGCATATTCTATGGTGAGGAACTGATGAGGGCATGTTCCAAATGATGAGACATACTATATGGTCGGGGATGTCGATTTCATCCCTTAGATTTGGAGAGAAATCTAAAAGCAGAACTACTAGTTAAAGTGGACTTTAGAGACAGAAAAGCAATTTTCAGGAGGAGAGTGGCAGGAAGAAGGAAGGAGAGCTAGACAAAATGAAATGCTACAGCATTAATAGAGTGAAATAAGATAAGGGAGTTATTAAAGACAGGGTGAAGTTGTGAAATAATGGTGTTTACTATGTAGTAATGGAATACAAAGTTGGAAAAATTAACCTGTGTTCTGGTTGGCAAGAGAATTAACTTTCCTAATTTTTTCCTCTTCAATTAGATGCATGAATCTGGGAGAGTAAATTTTTGCCTGCATCTTTGGGATAGTTTCAAGTGCATTTGGGTATATTTTAAGCAGTATAATGGTTATATCTTGTGATAAAATGTATGTTTAACTTTGTAAGAAATGTCTTCAAATTGGCTGTGTATTGTGTTGAATTCATTTCAACCTCTAGAAAATGAGTGGTGGAAATGAGCTGCTTCCTTAGCATTTGATGTTTCTAGTGAAACATCAATGAAGTTCCATTAAGTTTGGGGCTGATTATTTTCTTTAGATCATTTGTTTTCTCATATTTGAATTCTATTATTCCTTGTCAGGGTGAGAGAGAGAGAGAGTACAGGTGGTAGGACACATGTCTTGCTTGCAGTCCACTCTGATTCAGTGTCTTGCACCTGATGATCACAAGCCCTGATGGCGTGATCCCTGCATCAAAGGACCTGAACAGCATTGCATCCTCCAGCCTTGCACTGAATCACTGGCCCAATTAGCCAAGAATCTTAAGAGTGGTTGATGGAGCCCCTGAAGGCTGATTAAAAGGCCCCATCAAAATAGATTTCACTATCTATTTTATTTCATTTTATTTAATTTTTAAATTTTATTAGTGAAACACCATTAAGTACAGTTATAGACTTACACGGTTTTGGAGACTTACAAGGTTTTAGACTTACAAGGTTTTGTGCTTGCGTTTCAGTTATACAATGATCGAGTACCCATCCCTCCACCAGTGCCTATTCTCCCCCACCAATGATCCCAGTATCCCTCCCATCTCTCCATTCCCCCATCTTACCCCACATCTGTGGCAGGGCATTCCCTTTTGTTCTCTCTCACATTTTGGGTGTTGTGCTTTGCAAAACAGGCGTTGAGTATCAATCATGTTTGGTCTATAGTCTACTTTCAGCATGCATCTCTCATCCTGGAAGGATCCTCCCAACACTCTTTACTTAGTTCTCCCTTCTCTATATGAGCTGCCTTTACCCCTAGCATGTGTGGCTGGCCTCCAAGCAATGGAGTGAACCTGCTGGTACTTATCTCTGCATTCTTGGGTGTTACTCTCCTATTTTGTTACTTTATATTCCCCAAATGAATGTAATATTATTATGTCTGTACCTCTCTTTCTGATTCATGTCACTTAGCATGATACTTTCCATGCAGTACCACTTGCATGTAAATTTCATGACTTCATCTTTTCTAACAGCTACATACTATTCCATTGTGTAGATGTACCAAGGTTTCTTTATCGAGTCATCTGTTCTCGGGCACTCAGGTTTTTTCAAGAGTTTGGCTATTGTGAACAGTGCAGCAATAAACATAGAAGTGCAGATGTCATTTAGACTGTACTTGTTTCCCTCTCTGGGATATATTCCCAGGAGTGGTATTGCTGGGTCAAATGGGAGCTTAATTGTTAATTTTTTTGAGAATCATACATACTGTTTTCCAAAAGGGTTGAACCAGTTGGCATTCCCACAAGCACTGAAGGAGGGTCTCTTTCTTGCCACATCCACACCAATACCCGTTGCTTTTGTTCTTTTGGATGTGGGCCAGTCTCTGTGGTGTGAGATGATATCTCATTGTTGTTTTGATCTGCATCTCCCTGATGATTAATGATGTAGAGCATTTTCTCATGTGCCTTTTTGCCATTCGTATTTCTTCCTTGAGAAATTTTCTGCTCATTTTGTCACCCCATTTTTTGATGGGGCTGAATGTTTTCTTCTTGTGGAGTTCAACCAGTACTTTGTAGATCCTTGATATCAACCCCTTGTTTAATGGGTATCCTTTCCCATTCTGTAGATTGTCTTTGTATTTTGGTCACTGTTCCTTTTGAGGTAAGGAAGCATTTTTGTTTAAGATAGCCCCATTTGTCTACCTCTGTTTTCACTTGCTTGGCCAGTGGAGTGTCATCTTTGAATATACTGTTCGCTTCAATGTCATGGATGGTTTTGCAAGCTTGTCTTCTATGTACCTTATGGATTCTGTTCTGATATTGAAGTCTTTAATCAATTTTGATCTTACTTTTGTACATGGTGTTAGGTAGAGATCTGAGCCCATTTTTTTGCATGTAGCTATCCATTTTTGCCAGAACAATTTGTTAAAGAGGGTTTTCTTGCTCTACTTCATATTTCTTGCTCACTTATCAAATATTAGATGATCATATGTTTTGGGGGAGATATCAGTAGATTCAATCCAGTTCCATTGATCTGAAACTCTGCATTCATTCCAGTACCATGCTGTTTTCATTATTACTGCTTTGTAGTAGAGTTTGCAGTTAGGGAAGTTGATTCCTCCTATTTTCTTTTTCCCAAGAATTGCTTTAGCTATTCGCGGGGGCTTATTGTTCCATCTGAATTTTGGGAGAGTTTGCTCCATTTCTTTGAAGAATGTCATGGGTGTTGTTATTGGGAACAATTTAAATTTGTATAATGCTTTGGGGAGTTCTGCTATTTTGACAATGTCAATTATCCCAAACAATATGCAGGAAATATCTTTAGATTTTCTCGTGTATTCTTTTATTTCCTAAAGTAGCATTTTGTATTTTCTTTGTATAGGTCTTTTACTTCCTCAGTTAAGCTGATTCCTAACTTGATTTTCTGGGGCACAATTGTGATGGATTTTTTTTCATGTCATTTTCTTATCTCTCACTATTTGCTCATAGGAAAGCCATGAACTTTTGGGTATTGATTTTATAGCCTGCAACTTTACTATATAAGTCTATTGTTTCTAGGAGTTTCTTGGTAGAGGTTTTAGTGTTATTTTAGTATAGTATCATATCATCTGCAAATAGTGAGAGCTTGATGTATTCCTTTCCTACCTGAATGCCCTTAATATCTTTGTCTTGCCTGCCCACTATTGCAAGTACTTCCAGTACTATATTGAACAGCAGTGGAGAGAGTGGGCATCCTTGTCTTGTCCCTGATCTTAAAGAGAAGGCTCTCAGTTTTTCCCCATTGAGGATCATGCTTGCCATAGGCTTGTGGCAGATGGCTTTATCTATATTGAGGAAAGTCCTCTCTATCCCCAATTTGGTGAGGGATTTCATCATAAACGGGTGCTGGATCTTGTCAAATGCTTTCTCTGCATCTATTGGTATGATCATATTTTTTTTCCTTTTCTTTTGTTGATATGATGGATTATGTTGATTGATTTCCGAATGTTAAACCACTCTTGCATCCCCAGGATTAATCCCACTTGGTCATGGTGTATGATCTTTTTGATGAGTTGTCGAATTCTGTTTGCTTGTATTTTGTTGAGAATCTTTGCATCCGTATTCATCAGGGATATCAGCATGCAGTATTCTTTTATTGTGGTGTCTTTGTTTCCTTTTGATAGTAGAGAGATAAGACCTTTATAAAAACTGTTTGGGAAACTTTGTGTTTCTTCAATTTCCTGGAAAAGCTTGAGAAGAACTGGCAATAGTCGTCTTTACATGTTTGGAAAAATTCGCTACTAAGTCCATATGGACTGGGCTTTTGTTTTTGGGAAGACTTTTGATTACAGTTTCAATTTCTTTGATATTAGTAGGATTATTCAGGTATTATAGATGTTCTTGATTCAGCCTTGGGAGATAATAGGAATCCAGGAACTTTTCCATTTCTTCTAGGTTATCTTGTTTTGAGGCATACAAACTTTCAAAGTAGTCTCTGATGATCTTTTGAATTTCTTTGGATTCTGTTTTGATATCCCCCTTCTCATTTCTGATAGGGTTTTTTAGGGTTCTCCCTCTCTATTTCTTTGTGAGTCTTGATAGTGGTTTATCTTTCTTGTATATTTTCTTGACTAACAGCTCTTGGTTTCATTGATCTTTTAGAATTTTTTTTTTTGGTTTCCATGTTGTCGATATCTGCTCTAAGTTTTATGATCTCTT